TTTTTGTTTTTACAAAAATCTACTTTTCGTTATCATAATTGCAGATCGAGCACAAAAAAATCAACCTGGGTATCAAAGTTGAGTTAAAATGAGAAGTTTTTTTTTTAAAAAAAAATAAATATTTTCTGTCTGAAAAGTGAGACCGCACACGAAACTTTGCATTTTGTTGAAAACTGAAAACGATCTAAACAAAATTGTACAACCATATGAAATTAAAAAAGTTATAATTCGTAAAAAAATAGGAATACATAATACTGAATAAAACTTACAAATATATTAACTAATTACAGAGTTTCAGTGTGCTAATTCAAAATCATAAATGATACTTGAGCTAAAAAGCATAACAAAGTAAGAAAATCGAATTTCATGTCTTAAATTCAACAAGAATCGAAAATTGAAGATGAAACGAGAGGAGAGAAAAGAGTGAAGCGACACAAATGAAAATCCTAAATCTAATGCTGACCAAATGCTATTATAGGGTCGATCTCACACGTACATTTCAGTTGATTATTGTCAACCGTTCGATCTTTTTTTTTTTAATTGAATATTGTATTTGGGCTCTCTGTTTGTAGGTCGTTTGCAATAAAAACAAAAAAGAAAATTACACCATGTACAACATATATCACTTTTATTACAAAATTACCAAATGTATAACATTAATTACAAAATTATTAGATATATAAAAAATAATTAATTTAAGCATGCAATTAACTGATGTCATGATCGTTCCTTTATTATATAATTTAAATTAAAAACAAAATTGCCTTTTAAAAAGACAAAATTAATAAAGCCCGTGCGACTGTACTAGTATAGATAATAAAAGTGTATTTAGTGAACTCTGTTGACCAGCCATAGTTTAACCTTTGAAAACAATAATAACCTTTGAAAACCTGTGCACGTAAATCAAATTAATAAATCCCCTCATGTGTTCATCTTCCTCATTTTTTCCCACTCTCCAAATTCTAACTGTAATTAATTTAGTTTTTACACATTACAAATGGTATAAATGGTGCTTTCAATGTTTGTTTTTTTTTATTTACCATTGTTCCTTCTTTTTTTTTTCTTTTTCTTTTTTTTTTTTGGTTCTCTACATCAATTGTTCAATCATTAACAAAATTGTTAATCACTTCCAACAATTTTAAAGAATTCTTAATTTCTTTTTATTTTATTTTATTTTATTTTGAGAGAAAAATAACCTATTCTATTAGTTTGTGTTGTTATCGAATTGGGAAAAAATTGACAAGCAAATGAGTCGACCCTCACATCATAGCTAAAAGATTGAAAGGGTAAGTACTACAAATCAGTTATGAATTTTCCCTTTGACTTGTTTATTGCATTTTCTCTTTTAGAATTAAAATAGAATTTACTGTAGCTTATTTGTAGATTGGAAATTGAGGCTTATATGAGTTTAGCATAGATGCAAACTTGAAATTTGGAAATTGGGCGTTATAAATTTATTTATTTATTTCAATGTTTGATACT